GTCCCGGCGGCGCCGGCGAGGGGGCCCCCCCCGGAAGCGAAGGACGGCCCCGGCGCGGCGGGGAGCGACCCCCCTTGGGGGGGGGGCGGCGAGCCCCCCCGGGGCGGCGGCGAGCCGCCCCGCGGGGGCGGCGAGCCGCGCCGCGGCGGCGATCTGTCGCGGCGGCGCGGCGAGGGCGGCCGGCGAGGCGGCGCCTTGCCGTTGGTGTCGCCGTCGGAGGCGAGGCTGACGCCGACGCGATTCGAGTCGAGCTGGCCGCCGTCCATGTGCCGGACCGCCTCCTCCGCCTGCTGCCGCTTCGCCATCTCGACGGTGGCCGTGCCCTTGGAGAGGCCGACCGCGCTGTCCACGGCGAGGTCGACCTTGACCACCTCTCCGTAGTAGCCAAAGATCTCGCGCAGGTGCTCGGCGGTCACGTTCCGCGTCAGGTTGCGCAGCCGCAGCACCGCGTCCTTGTCGGCCGGCCGCGCCGGTCCCCGCCCACGCTCCGGCGACTTGGACGACGAGTACGAGTACGAGTCCGAGTCGCTGCGCGACTTGGCGGCCGGCTTGGCTTTGGCGGCCGGCTTGCCGGCGGGCTTGCCGGCGGGCTTGCCCGCGGGCTTGCCGGCGGGTTTGGCCTTGGACGGCTCCGGCGAGTCCGAGTACGAGTACGAGGAGCTCGAGGAGGAGCGCGGCATCTCGGCCGTGGTCAGGCTGGCCAGGGCGGAAAAGAAAAGGTCGCGCGCACACTTACCTGTGAAGTGTTGTCTGTTTTCTTTCTTTCTTTCTGTGAAGTGTGAACAGCGGATTTCGAATCAGCGTTCTCCTAGAACGATATCGGTGTCGAAACACCGCTCTGACAGCGCTCACAGCTGTGTGTGTGTGCAGTCAAAACGTGCAGAGGTTGTGCCGCGTCCCGTGCCCCCGAGTTCATTTATAAGTTGCTGCAGGCTCTCGACGCACCGCCATCGGTGAGCGGCGACACCTACTAGCTCGCGTCCGCACCCGCCCGGCCGTCGGCGAGGGTGTCGCTGGCTGGCCGCGGCGCTGGACCCGCACAAGCCGAGCCATCGGCGGCGACCGGGTCGAGGGCGAAATCGGCCCCTCAAAAACGGCGCGGTCTCCGCTGGGATATTCCCAGACTGCTACTCGCTCGACAGGACGGATCCTGATGGCCCCTCAGCGGGCTGCCATCGCCGCCGCCGCTGCCGCTTTCGCGCTCGCCTTTGCAGGATGTGCAGGCCTACGAGCGCTCGTGCGCTACCGCCGCCGCCGACTTCGCCGCGCCAGCCATCTGCCAACCTATCTGATCTCGCTCCGGCGCAGGCCGGCCCGCCGCGCCGCCGCCCTCGACCGCGCGGCGAGGGCCGGCCTCTGCAGCG